ATTTTCTTTGGAGCCATGCTGACAAGTACACCAAACACCTTCCAAACGCCACAAAACACACGACAAGCCTCACTGAACGTCTCCTTGCTACCGCGATCTTGCCCACAGGAACCCGCGACCGCATGGTAGCAGGGAAAATGGCCGCGGATCCGGTTTGTAACTCAAGGTGGAGTTCGCAAGTCGAGGTAAATTTTTGGGGCCGGAGCTGGTCGTATCTCGAAAAATTCATAAGGAGGGGCGTTCATAATTCGAGGTACCACTGTATATAGCATTCATAACCTTTTACTAAAGATGTACTGTATGCCCTAACTGGAGGAGGAGCATAAGGCTGAGAAGCGAACAGAAGAAAAACATGACTTAGCAACTACACAGGGGACAACAAAAAGAAAAATCTGCACAGGATGCTTCTGAATGAGGTTCCTATAAGGCTGGTAATCTAAGCAATTTTTAAGGCAACCTAGACAATACTGCAAATAAGGTTTCTTCACACATCCCTGAAGGCCAATTGCGCAAGCAAACTTCTATTTGGTTGGGACCATACGTTTTTATATGCTATTGAACTATGGAGCTACTGTCTGTGTCCATCACGCAGAACTCCCAGTTTGAGACACAATTCCTTAGAAGAGGACATTCATCTTCATTCAAATCAGGGCTCCTCACCCATGATGTTTACTACAGGTGGGTCTCAGAAGTCATCTTGATGGAACAAAGTCCTTGCAATGTTAAGTCTTCTAAGTTTTGCTCTCATTGTTCATTATAATAAAATGTCTGCAGACACCTTCCTTCTTACTTTCAGCAACTGAGGGACTGCTGAGGGTCCCAAATCTGAGGGAGTGGCATTTAGAAGGACATGTGCTTGATAATGGTCAGTGATGATCCCTGTGCCTGGAACAGATGACCCCCAGATATTCAGATCATCCCTATCATACTTTCAAAGTGGGCCCCTGAAGACCTTATTGCCAGAATAGTAGGACATCAAGGCTTTCTTGCTGTTATGTTAGGTTATTGATTTTTTAAAAAGTGTTTTGTACTTATGCTTATTATTTGTAAGCCACTTGGAGTCTTTGGAAGTGGGGTAGCATAGAAATCCAAAATAAGTAATAAATAAGAAAGTTAAGAAATGCTCAAAACCAAAACCCATGGATGCCCTCTGCTCCTTCTGAAATTTATTTTTTAAATATATTTTAATTTTACGTTTTTTATTTTTTAGCTGATCTGAGGCTTCAGAAATGAAGCACTGTATAAAGTGCCAAAGAACGTTACAAATAAAGCCAAAAAGCTAGCTAGGAAAAGCTCAGAAACCAAAACCCACTGATATCTCTGCTCCTTCCCTATCTGATTCTTTTACATTTCCATTTTCTGTTTATTATTTGTAAGATGCTCAGCGTCCTTGGAAACCGAGCAACAGAGAAACCTATTTATTTGTTCAGTTGGAGCTGCCCAACTCCAGAACGACTGAAGGGAGAGAGGAAGTTACAAATCAATCCGCAAGAAAGGGAAAAAGAAAAGTACTGCAGGAAAGGCTGCTCCAAACCAAAAACCGTAGAGGCCCTCAAATCAGATCCTTAAAGCTACTGTTTAATATGCTGTGCGTGTGTATTGTATAAAGGAAGTACACAGATAAAGATATACTATATATGTACACACACACGGATTCTTAAATTCTATTTTAATCTGGCCGATTTTTTAAAAACACTCCAGGGCTGCGTTTAGGCTCGGAGACGGAACTGAGGGAAGGAAGGAAGCTACAAATCAGTCAGTAAGGAGGAGAAAGAAGGGGCAGGTTCATCCGTCAGGAAAAAAGAAAAAGAAGAAGAAGGCAAGCTCGGAAAGGCGGCCCCCAAACCAAAAGCCACCGATCTGACGCCCTCTTTTTTGGTGGGGGAGGAGGACGCCATTATTT